ATATATATATATATATAAGATGAATTATTGAATAATGTATATATATAAGATAAATTATTTATATATATATAAAAAGTTATATATATAAGTTATTATATATATAAGAAGTTATATAAGAAGTTATATTGATATATATATAAGATAAATTATTGAATAATGTATACATATATATATAAGATAAATTATTGAATAATATATACATATATATATAAGATAAATTATTGAATAATATATATATAATATAAGATAAATATATATATAATATAAGATAAATTATTGATATATATATATATATATATATATGTATGTATGTATGTATGTATGTATGTATGTGTGTATGTATGTATGTATATAAGATAAATGATTGAATAAGAAGGTAATACGCCGTGATAATAATGAATTGTTAAAAATAACGTTACAGGCATGTACACCATGCGCATGCTAGATAATGGTAATAACAACGCGTCGGGTCCAACGGGAGCAGCGGCCTTGTCAGGAGTTCAGACAGCTGGTGGTACGACCTCTTCGGCAACAGGCGTTACGACACTTCCGGGTGTAACAGACGAAAGGATGGATGCGTCGAGCGATAGCGCTGTCAGCAGCATGGGCAGCGAGCGTGTACCATCCCTTTCGGATGGCGAATGGATGGAAACTGGTTCTAATTCCAGTCACACGCAAGCTGATTCCCATTATACTATGGATTATGCTAGGTGATTTTAAGTTATAAGCCGAATGATCAAACAGCTTCGTTTAGACGACGGCACTATTTTCTATTTTTACTCTTATTTTTCCATTTTTTTAATATGGCACATTTCGTTTCGCACGTCCTTTTCATTAAACTGAGAATTCAAAATTGAAATAAGAGACGAATCCTTCGATGCAGAAGATGACAAAAATTCCGAGTAATTCTTTTCATTTCTGGAGAGCCTGTCGTAGATTGCAAAGATTTATTTTTCACAATACAGCACGACGGTGAATATATAAAAAGCCTCTTTATCTGTAAATACAACGATTGATGGGGAAAACCAGCCCGTCTTCTAAAGGTTAAAACAATCGTCATACATTAATGATTTTTCGTATAGTAATGTGAGATCGTGTTTTGACGTTAGCAAATACCGCATGTCGTACGACTGCAGCTATTCCGTTTCCGGGAGGAACGCCGGTTCTCCAAGATGCCAAACGGAACGTACTATGCCTCCAGTTGCTCAGAAAAAGCACCAGATGTTTGCGAAACGATATTTTCAGGAACAAGGAACTGGTTAGTTTATTAATAAACAAGCATTCCTATGCGGCAACGTCGTATGCAATTAAAACTGAATGAATGGACTTTACATCTGTTTCTTGAACATGCAGGCTCTCCTCTCGGAGCAACAGCACATCCGACCACTCCTATGAAGTATGACTATGATTCGCACACAGTTGGTGCTGGTGCACCGGGAAATGCCTATTCCGGTCCGATCGAGGGTGCAGCTGGCCCTCAACCTGAAATAAAATATAGTTGTAGCGTAGATTTCACACGTCATCAATCAGGTAAAGCACACGTACAAAGTCTTTTTATTTCTAATTATACCTATATGGAAGTCGATGATATCGTCAATTATTGAATATTTGCAGGACGTTCAGCTGTTGAGCATGTTCATCATAATCACACGTACCATATGCCTGCTGAAAGTTCCGGATCTCTGCAACGTCCAGTTTCTCGTGATAAAAAAGGTATCATCAAGATCGAAATTATTTTATATTTCGATAA